AGTGCAGTGGCCGGATCTCAGCTCACTGCAAGCTCCGCCTCCCGGGTTTATGCCATTCTCCTGCCTCAGCCTCCCGAGTACCTGGGACTACAGGCGCCCGTCACCTCACCCGGCTATTTTTTTGTATTTTTTAGTAGAGACGGGGTTTCACCATGTTAGCCAGGATGGCCTCGATCTCCTGACCTCGTGATCCGCCCGTCCCGGCCTCCCAAAGTGCTGGGATTACAGGCTTGAGCCACCGCGCCCAGCCTATAGATCACTCTTAAGGAAACATCAGATAATCCATTTAGGAGACAAACAATATAAATGTGATGTATGTGGCAAGGTCTTTAATTGGAAGCAAAACCTTGCATGTCATCGTAGATTTCACACTGGTGAGAAACCTTACAAGTGTAATGAGTGTGGCAAAACCTTCAGTCAGATGTCATCCCTTGTATACCATCGTAGACTTCATACTGGAGAGAGACCTTACAAATGTGAAGAATGTGATGAAGCTTTCAGTTTCAAATCAAACCTTGAAACACACAGAAGAATTCATACTGGAGAGAAATCTTACAGGTGTAATGAATGTGGCAAGACCTTCAGTCACAAGTCATCCCTTACACGCCATTGTAGACTTCATACTGGAGCGAATCCTTACAAGTGTAATGAGTGTGGCAAGATCTTCATTCAGACGTCATCCCTTATATACCATCGTAGAGTTCATACTGGAGAGAAACCTTACAAATGTGAAGAATGTGATGAAGCTTTCAGTTTCAAAGCAAACCCTGAAAGACATAGGAGAATTCATACTGGAGAAAAACCTTATAAGTGTAATGATTGTGGCAAGACATTCAGTCAGATGTCATCCCTTGTATACCATTATAGACTTTATACTGGAGAGAAACCTTACAAATGTGAAGAATGTGATAAAACTTTTCATTTCAAATCAAACATTGAAAATCACAGGATAATTCATACTGGAGAGAAACCTTACAAGTGTAATGAATGTGGCAAGGCTTTTAATCAAAAAACAAGCCTTGCACAACATCAGAGAGTTCATACTGGAGAGAAACCTTACAAGTGTAATGAATGTGGCAAGGTTTTTAATCGAAAACCACACCTTGCACATCATCATAGAATTCATACTGGAGAGAAACTTTTCAAGTGTAATGAGTGTGGCAAGACCTTCAGTCAAAATTCAGTCCTTGTAATTCATAAGGCAATTCATACTGGAGAGAAATCTTACAAGTGTAAGGAATGTGGCAAGTCCTTCAGTCAGAAGTCATCCATTACAAGCCATCATAGACTTCATACTGGAAAGAAACCTTACAGATGTGAAGAATGTGACAAAGTTTTCAGTCACAAATCAAGCCTTGAAAAGCATAGGAGAATTCATACTGGAGAGAAACCATACAAATGTAAGGTTTGTGACAAAGCTTTCGGGCGTGATTCACACCTGGCATGACATACTAGAATTCACACTGGAGAGAAACCTTACAAGAGTAATGAATGTGGTAAAGTTTTTAGTCAAAAAGCAAAGCTTGCATGGCATCATTGAATTCATACTGGAGAGAAACCTTACAAATGTGAAGAATGTGACAAAGTTTACAGTCACAATCAAGCCTCGAAAGACAGAATTCATACTGGAGAGAAATCATACAAATGTAAGAGTTTGTGACAAGGCTTTCAGGAGTGATTCACACCTGGCAGAACATACTAGGATTCACACTGGAGAGAAAACTTAAAAGTGTAATGAGTGTGACAGAGCCTTTAATGGGCAGTCAACACTTATTCACCATTAAGCAATCCATGGTATAGGGAAACTTTACTAATGTAATGATTGTCACAAAGTCTTCAGTAATGCTACAACCATTGCAAATCATTGGAGAATCCATAATGAAGTGAGATGTTACAAGTGTGACAAATGTGGGAAAATTTTCAGACATCGTTCATACCTTGAGAGAAACCTTACAAATGTCATACTAGAGAGAAACCTTACAAATGTCATGATTGTGGCAAGGTCTTCAGTCAAGCTTCATCGTATGCAAAACATAGGAGAATTCATACAGGAAAGAAACCTCACAAGTGTGATGATTGTGGCAAAGCCTTTCCTTCACGTTCACAGCTCATTACACATCAGAGAATCTATACTGGAAAGAAAGCTTACAAATACTGTAAGTGTAAAATATCTTCACTGTGAGGTCACTCCTTGAAGAACATCAGAAAATTCATTCTTGAGATAATCGTTGCAAATGCCATGAGTATAGCAAACCATCACACGTTAATTGATATTAGAGTCAATTCAGCGTTGACTTCAGTTTGAGTTGACTTAACTTTGAGTTCAAGCATTAATTGATATTAAAGTGTTTATGTTAAGAAGATTGGACTGGGCGGGGTGGCTCACACCTGTAATCCCAGCACTTCGGGAGGCCAAGGCAGATAGATCACTTGAGGTCAGGAGTTTGAGAGCAGCCTGACTAGCAGACGTGAGTCATTTTTTCCAGCCTGTTTTTTGTTTAACGAAAACTGATAGGGATTTTTATGGGTATTGTGTTGAATCTGAATCACACTGGTTTGTATAATTATTAAACAATATTAATACTTCTAATCCATCAATATAGGTCGTATCTCTAGTTTTTTTGATCAATGTTTGTAGATTTTAATGTAAAAGCTTCTCACCTCCTTAATTAAGCTTATTCGTAATTATTTCTTTAAGTTCCATAGCAAATGGAAGTGTGTTCTTAATTTTCTGTATGCCCTATGTAAATGAAGTGGATGAAGGAAAGATACGAGGTCATTTACTCAGCGTGGGCCATATGGAGAGGATATTTTCTGTCTTGAATGAAGTGTGAATCGGCCTTATGTTCCCTGTCTCCAGATCCTATTCTCTTGCCTCAGGACAAGGGGGAGATTGGGGACAGTGAAAAGATTAGTGAGAAAGAGGAACAAGAGGTGAAACAAGTTTTAAGAATGGGGTAGGAGAGAAGTGGGACACAAAATGAGCAGAAACCCATGGGGAAATGCAGAGAAGAAATAGAGAAGGTGAGAAAGAGCTATGTACAGAATGAGGGAGGGAAACAGTAATGAAGACGAGGAGGGACCCTGGGTGCAGATGGACGGTGAGTTGGTTGGATGTGATGAGGAAGTGATGACATGTTGCTTTCTCTGTTTAGAAGGTAAGAAATTTAAAATTTGTTTAAATTATACAGATGAGAAGGAAAGTTGCAAAACGGCTGTCTCTAAATGTCGTTCATTTTATAACGATGGTGTCAGAGACCAGAGGACAGTGACTTAACTCGTTAGTTGTGGATCACCC